GTCAGACAGAATGGGCTTGTTTAGAAGAATGAGCGGTGACTTGCCTGAAGTATATAAAACCTTAAATGATCTTGTCGAGGTAGACATCTAATGAATATTTCCACTTGTGGGTGAATTAAGAACTGGGGCATCTATCTAAAAGTTATTGTTTTCTTTTAGAACAGAGATGAGAGGAAATCTTTTCTCTGAGCATTGGGTGAGTTTGGAACTCTGCCTCAGAAGGCAATGGAGCCAAGATCATTAAATGTTTTCAGGTGGACGTAGATATATTCTTGTTAGGCAAGAAAACCAAAGTATTTCAGGGGTGGGTGGACTGTGGAATTCAAAACACAAACAGATCAGCCATGATCTAATTCAATGGCACAGCAAACTTGAGGGACAAAATGGCTTACTTTTGCTCCTAATTTCTGTTCCTTGACCAGGATCCCAGTGTCAAAAATGTCCTAACTCTGTAAACTGAACTCATATCCTTGCAAAGACAGCTAATATTATTTGGATCTGTCAATAAAACTGACAGTAGGCCATGGTGAACACAATAATTTTTGAAAGCAGTCAGACTGTATTAATATTATAATGATAACCCTCGGGCTAGCAAAATTTCACATACAGAATTCTTTTTCTCAACTGACAACAGGGTGGATTTTGTTTTCTAAATTTTAAAGAGCAGGATATTTAAGTATATGACAGATAGACAGCTTCACAGACATTACCTGCTAATTATTCAGATTGATGTCTATTTGTCCACTTTATGCTCCCATCCAAGGTGTGGTACTTCTAATCCCATTCACCCACTTTACATTGAATAGAAGAAATGATTCCTATAGTTGTAGTTGCATGTGTTTAAAAAAAGCTTTAAAAAAGGATATATTCATAACTTTCCATCATTTTTAAATCACCATATTAAAAAAAAAACTCCACTCATTACAGCCCAATAAATGTATCAATCACTCAGATCCTTTACAGTTCCAATATCTGAATGGCAAGACACTTAAGGTTCTGCATTTGAACATTGTGAAATTGTCAGCAGAGATCAGCCATTGCAGCGTCCATTGAAACAGGGGTTTGAGTGTTTCAACAATCCAATGATTGTCTGGACTCCCCACCAAGCCACATTATGTATTCCTGGCTCCCCAGTAAACCTGACTTGATGAAAGTCTGTCCATGTACTGTTATTTAAAAATACTTGGATACATGCTGGACAGTGAGGGACAGGCAATGATGTGTGAAAAAGGCAGGGAAATCACATTGTTCAGTGCAGCAATGTCTATTATGTTTTAACATTGAATTGTGAGCATAAAATTGCAATATCAGTGGAGAGTTGCTTTTGCACTAAGATAATGACTTAAAGACCTGTGTGTATACCATGCAGTATATACTGTTGACTTTCATAGTATCTGTGAATATGATAACTTTCATGATGTTGACTGAATTGAGAACAACCGATATTTAAATATAAAGCTCCAGGTATGTGTCGTTAAGTTCTGAAGTAATCTCATTCCATTCAAATAATTCTTTTTTTTAAATTCAGACTCCTAGAACAAAGCTTCTTCACATGAAAATTATTACATAAAAAATCTGGTGGAGCCTGCTGACATTTGTGTTTATAATTGCCATGAATATCACCATGTGCAAGTTCATAAATTTATCTCTAAAGATTTAATGCGGCAATCACCTCTAATTTATCATTTTCTCTAATTAACCCATTTTACTCATAGGTGCTAACACGTTTGGAATATTAAAGATAAATTTTGGAACAATGCAATGCAATTTTCTTTTATTTTGAAGAGACAAAATGTGTTTTCAAGCAATTGTATAGCAACAACATATGCAAATAGAAAAATAAACCTTTCAATCTGCACAAAATTGCCAATATTCACTTTTCATCTAAAAGGATCAACAAGAAGGATATTGTTGCTTGAAGAAGGTGGCCAAAGAGGAAAATATAATAAAAAACTTCTTGGGAGGATTTTATGGAACCACATAAAGCTGGAAATGTAGCATGCTGGATGACTCAATCAGGGTGGGTTGCAAAATTCAGTTTGAGATTCAGAGATGAAGTCAAAAGCTAATTAGTGGCATTTAGAGCCTCATGTCAGCCTGTGGTGTCTTCATATTTGTAATAGATTTGTGTGTAATCAATACTCATTCATGTAAAACTTTTATAATTACATCCAATTTTCAGGATAAAGTCAGCAGCACATGAGAATGTCGTGGGACCTACTTGACATTTGTTTGTCCACGATTCAGCTTTGTGAAATTTTGTGATGTCAGCGGATTTCCTTGTCCCAGGGCACAAGGGGGGAGGGGGTTGGGAGCAGGAAAATAGCAGACTGTGTGGTGCTTCTGTGAGCCGCAGGAGGGAAGACGGGACTGTGGGTTTTGGTGGTTAGCATGGAGAGGGGTTGTGGACATGGAAGAGCTGAAGAAGAACCAGGAAAGTACAGAATGTGGGTCAGAGATATAAGCACTGGAGGCCCAGGAATCATGGATGTGGTGATGGGAGTTGGGGGAATGTGGGGGCAGGGAATGTCGATGGTGATGGGAATAGTCAGTCACAGCAAGAAAATGAGAAGCCTAATGGGCAGTGCCAATACTGTCCAAACCTGGATCCGCCTCAGGATTTTGGTTGACAGAGTCCTTACAGAACTTTGAGTTCACAAAAAACAAAAAACAAAACCAAAACAGAATCCCCCTCATCCTCATGTACCACCCCACCAACCTTCGGATCCAACACATCATCCTCCGACACTTCTGCCATCTGCAATCCGACCCCACCACCAAAGACATTTTTCCTTCCCCACCCTTATCTGCTTTCAGGAGGGACCACTCTCTCCATGACTCCCTTGTCCGCTCCACAATCCCCTCCAGCCCCACCACCCCCGGCACTTTTCCCTGCAACTGCAGGAAGTGCTACACCTGCCCCTACACCTCCCCCCTCACCCCCATCCCAGGCCCCAAGAAGACCTTCCACATCAAGCAGATGTTCACCTGTATCCGCTGTTCCAGATGTGGCCTCCTCTACATCGGGGAAACCAAGCGGAGGCTTGGGGACCGCTTTGCGGAACACCTACTCTCAGTTCGCAACAAACAACTGCACCTCCCAGTCGCGAACCATTTCAACTCCTCCTCCCATTCCTTAGATGACATGTCCATCCTGGACCTCCTGCAGTGCCACAACGTTGCCACCTGAAGGTTTCAGGAACAGCACCTCATATTTCGCTTGGGAACCCTGCAGCCCAATGGTATCAATGTGGACTTCACAAGCTTCAAAATCTCCCCTCCCCCTACCGCATCCCAAAACCAGCCCAGCTCGTCCCCGCCTCCCTAACCTGTCCTTCCTCCCACCTATCCCCTCCTCCCACCTCAAGCCCCTCCCTCATCTCCTACCTACTAGCCTCATCCCGCCCCCTTGACCTGTCCATCCTCCCTGGACTGACCTATCCCCTCCCTAACTCCCCACCTACATGCACCTTTACTGGCTCCACCCCCGCCTCTTTGACCTGTCTGTCTCCTTTCCACCTATCCTCTCCTTTATCCAACTTCTATCCGCCTCCCGCTCTCTCCCTATTTATTTCAGAATCCCCTTCCCCTCCCCCATTTCTGAAGAAGGGTCTAGGCCTGAAATGTCAGCTTTCCTGCTCCTCTGATGCTGCCTGGCCTGCTGTGTTCATCCAGCTCTATACCTTGTTATCTTTGAGTTCACCTACCTTATTTCAATTATCCCGGCTATGAGTGATCTTACTCTACGTCTTTTCTAATGCATTGAAGAAAAGGCCAGGCTGAGCCTGAAAGTTCCCACTACATGATGAATGAAACATTGGACATTAACATGAACATTCAATAAAGAGTGAACAAAGGAAACAAGATTTTTTTTGTACATTAAGGGAAATGTCTCTAACTCCCCGTGCCCAACAGTATGTACCAAGTATGAGGCATGCCAGTATATTTAGCTCTGATTACATTAACCTCGACAAATAATGATGATGCACAAAAGAAAATCAATGTAATTTGAAATATTTAGAAGTGCAATTTAATACTTTAAAACCCCTTATGTTCTTTATTTGTGATTTTTTTACATTGTCATCTCAGAATCAATTGCAAAACAGTGAACAGATGAAAACAGCTTAATTGTTGACTGTGTTGGATTCTATCTTACTGACTTTATCTTTTTATGCATTTTCAGTTTCAAGTTTAAACTTGAACTATCTTTTATTGGAGGTGGCCAGAGGCAAAGAGTATTAGAGAGAAATGTTTTAGACAAACATATGAAATAGGAGCAGAAGTTGACAATTTTGCCCCTAAAACCTGCTTCACCATTTAAAATCATGGCTAAGTTGTTTGTGTTTTGAACCCACATTCTTGTCTACCCCCAATAACCCTGAATTCCCGTCCTTTCTGAACATACTCCAGGCAAGACCATCCAAAACTATAGATATCTGTTACATTGTTGCAGTCATCAGTCATTCCTTTCCTATTCAGAGTAATTTAAAATAGTACATTGGTCTAAACGACACCTTGAGGCATTTTAATTGATCTGGTACCCTAACTGAGGTCAGACTGATTTCCATATCCTTAATTCTCCTGTATGGTGTGGCAGCACATACTTAATCTAGTAGTGCGCTATAGGACCAATGTTTTGTTATTGTTATCTCAGCTAGAGTTTCAGCCTATTTTTAAACTTTTGAGCATACACTACTTAGAAAGCTAAAAGCAGTAGTGGAGAGATTTTCACTGATGCTGGAGGGCCGGTTGAAGTGTTACTGGTGACGGAATTCTTAGTAAAGACCGACTGACTGGATCACAGATTAACTAATTAAAAGTACTGGAAAACTTCCAAAATTTGCACTTATGAATGTTTGTTTTTTTTACTGAGTGAAAAGCAAAAAGCAAGCAATGCAATTAAATTTATAGAGGGGTAGTTAAGATCTCCTCTTATCAAATCAAATTCCATCGAAAAGAAAGTGAAGATAAGCTTCATAATCCTTTATTTTCTGTTACAGAACTCGTGTTGTTTCTCCTGTAATCGATGTTATTGACTGGAAGACATTTCAGTATTATCACTCTGTTGATCCTCAGCGAGGAGTTTTCAACTGGAAGCTGGACTTTCATTGGGAACCAATACCAGAATATGAGCAGAAATGGCGGACATCTCCCACGATACCTGTACAGTACGTATTATAACAAGTATCTGCGTATCTGTCCAGTCATATTTCAACCCCATAGGATGAAGATTATCTAGAAAGAAGTACTTAGGCATAGTTAATTATATCTAGTGCAACTGACGAACAAAGGAGATGAGTAAAAATGTGTACAGAAGTGCAAAAAATTAATACTTTAAATTTGTCATTCAGTAATACAGAATGCGAGTATTGCCAAAAAATATACACTTTGTTGAAGCACTCATCAACACATTTTGCAAAAATACCAACAAAAGGAAAGCCAACATTTATTTTGCATGAGAGGAGAGTGCTGACTTATTGGCAAGTGGACTCTAAATTTTAGAGTTGATACTATGGAGAATGTACCATTTAATGATAATTGATCATAAACTATCAGGCTTTGTTTAAATTTTAAACCAAATAGCTTGACTCTGATTGGTCAGATTATTGTCCTGAGAAGTGACCCAGTGAATGGCTGTCACTTACGTTGAGTTGAAACAGGTGCAATGCATGTACAGAGTTCTGAGGAAGGGTCACTGGACCCAAAAGGTTAACTCTGATTTTTTCTTCACAGATACCACCAGATCTGCTGAGTTTTTCCAGCAACTTCCGTTTGTGTGTAATGCATGTACATGTTCTTTTTGTACAAGGCTCTGTGTATTAATATAGTAACTTCCAATACATGTGAGTATGCTACACTGCAAGCCCAGCTAACAATCCTAAATTGGTTGTCAGCATAATTCTTCACACATTCAAGATTATCCAGCAAATGTTTTCCAATTGTAGAATCATATCAGATGTTGGCCACTGTGTTGTGAGTTTTTCAAGAGCCAGCTGGTTGGGTGCAGTCAGTATCTTGCTTGTTGTGAACAGCTGGAGGGATATGCTGTTTGATATAGTTTGCCAGTCTTTGGGACATACAGCCTACATATTTAGTACCACACTGACACTAAAATTCAAATACCATATTACTCAATTGTGTGATGGGGCAGACTGTCTCTCTGGCATGACAACAGCTTCCTGGTGAACACCATTCATGTTGTTTTTACATATTAGCCACATGGAACAGCTGCTTTCAACTGCTGGTCAGAATTTTGCAATGGATTATCCTGGAATGGTAAAGTGAGGTAGATTGGATACCTTATAGGTTAGTTATCTCAGCTCCAGGACATCTCTGCAGGAGTTCCTCAGGGTTGTGCCCTAGGCCCAACCAGCCTCAGCTGCTTCATCAATGACCTTCCCTCCATCATAAGGTCAGAAGTGGGGATGATCACCAACGATTGCATAATATTCAGCAGCTTTGGCAACTTCTCAAATTCTGAAGCAGTCCATGTCCAAATGCAACAAGATCTGGACTGGGCTGACACGTGGCAAGTAATATTCACACCACATAACGTGCCAAGCAATGACCATCTCCAATAAGTAATCATTGCCCCTTGACATTCAATGGTGTTACCATCACTGAATCCCCCACTATCAAAAGCCTGGGGGTTACCATTGACCAGAAACTCAACTGCACTCACCGTATATACACAGTGGCTACAAGAGCAGGTCAGAGGCTAGGAATACTGCAGTGAATAACTCCCCTCCTGACTCCTCCAAGCCTGTCCACCATCTACAAGGCACAAGACAGGAGCATGTTGAAATACTCCTCAGTTACCTGGATGAGTGTGGCTGCAACACATGCAAGAAGCTTGACATCAACCAGGATAAAACACCCCACTTGACTGGCACTACAGCCACAAACATCCACTCCCTCCAGCACCAATGCTCAGGAGCAGCAGTTTGTACTGTCTTTAAGATGTGCCATCTATTTGATAGCAATAATGTTTAAACTATGATTATATTTATTTAAGCCAGTATCAGTTGTTCTGAATTGAAAGTGGTTTGCAAAATAAAATTAGGTTATCAGTCAGAAAATCAGAAAATGCTGGAAATACTCAGCAAGTCTGGCATCATCTGTTGCAATAGAAACACAGGTACTTTTGCAGGTCAGTGACTTTTCATCAGAACTGTGAGAGACTAGAAAAATAATACATCTTGAACAAGTGAAACCGAGCGTGATAGGAAGAAAAGCAAAAGGGAGGACCTGGAAATAACTGCTGGAGATCACAGCAGGTTAGGCAGCACCCATGGAGAGAGCAAGCTAATGTTTCAAGTCTAGATGACTCTTCATCACAGTTCCTAGAATGGGAAAATCTGTTTTATAGTAAGGAAATAGATGAGAAATGAGAGGTATAAAACCTGCAAAGGCAGACAAGACAAATTGAGATAAAACTTGAGATCTAAAACTGTTACACTCAACATTGAATGCAGAATTCTGTATAATGCAAGGTGCTATTCCTCAAGCTTGTATTGAACTTTATTGGAACAACCTTAGCAAGCCAAGGAAGGTCAGAGAGGGATGAGGAGAGAATTAAATTGAAAATAAAAAGGATGTTCAGAGGCATGTTTGCAGACAGAATACAGATGTTCCACACAGCGTCACCCACATTGTGCTTGGTCTCCTCACATAGAGTGTGCCTTGTTGTGAGTGCTGTATACTATATTGAAAACAGTGCGAGTATATGGGTCTAGGCCCGAAACGTCAACTTTCCTGCTCCTCTGATGCTGCTTGGCCTGCTGTGTTCATCCAGCTCTACACCTTGTTGTATCCGAGTATATTGTTGTTTCACTTAGCTGGAATTTATCAAAGTTTCTTGCAAAACTGAGGAATCATATTCCTGGCACCACTAGTAAGTGTATCAAAAATAAGCTTGCTCCGGACAGCTAAGCTAGTTCGGAATGACTGTTCAGCACCTTCTGAACTCACAGCTCCAAGTTAGCTCTTTTCTATGCTGCAGTTTCCTACTGTTCTTCAGGATAAGTTTTGTAGAACATGTAAAAATGTTTGCTGGCGCAATAGGATACTGTTTTAAACTGGGACTCACATTGATAAGACACAGTGAAGGGAGAGTCACTCTGAATCTGGCCATTTTGTACCTAGTTTCCTGTGTAGATGATGAAGAGTCACAGAGGCAACAGTGTTCTATAGGTTGAAATTATTCCTCTGAAAAATGTACAGGAAAGTCATTGTTTGGTGGTTTCTGTCATTCCTAATCATAATTCATCTCAATTCCTCTTGGTCATTGTCCTTGTTTCAGGAGTCCAGCTGTATCTGGAGGAGTGCTAGCAATGAATCGGCATTATTTCCAAAATATTGGTGCGTATGATCCTGCAATGCTGATGTGGGGAACAGAAAATGTGGAACTGTCTCTCCGGGTAAGGTTAAAAACCTCAAATCTGAGGCTAACTGGTGTTTTGTCTTGAATAAATTGTTCTTTGCATGACAATATAGTACTAGAATTCTAAAAGATTTAATGTTGATTTCTGTGTTTTTTCTGAAAAGAAAATGTATCTTTCTTTGTGCTTTCATATATAAATAATTACTCATCTGAATTGAAAGAAAAGGATACTGAGGATTGACTACAACATGAAGTTAAACAAGGATATTCCTAGGATTTCAGTTGTTAGCATCTAACATTTAGCTTAGGGAGATAGTAGGAACTGCAGATGCTGGAGAATCTGACATAACAAGGTGTAGAGCTGGATGAACACAGCAGGCCAAGCAGCATCAGAGGAGCAGGAAAGCTAACGTTTCCGGTCTAGCCCCTTCTTCAGAAATGGGGGAGGGGAAGGGGATTCTGAAATAAATAGGGAGAGAGGGGGAGGCAGATAGAAGATGGATAAAGGAGAAGATAGGTGGAGAGGAGACAGACAGGTCAAAGAGGCAGGGTTGGAGCCAGTAAAGGTGAGTGTAGGTGGGGAGGGAAAAATGCCTTTGGTAGTGGGGTCAGATTGCAGATGGCGGAAGTGTCGGAAGATGATGCGTTGGATTCGGAGGATGATGCGTTGGATTCGGAGGTTGGTGGGGTGGTATGTGACGACAACGGGGATTCTGTTTTGGTTGTTATTGCGGGGAGGGGGTGTGAGGGATCAGTTGCGGGAAATGCGGGAGACACAGTCGAGGGCGTTTTCAACCACTGTGGAGGGGAAGTTGCGGTCCTTGAAAAACGAGGACATCTGGGATGTCCGGGAGTGGAATGCCTCATCTCGGGAGCAGATGCGGCAGAGGCGAAGGAATTGAGAATCGGGGATGGCCTTTTTGCAGGAAGGTGGGTGAGAGGAGCTGTATTTTAGGTAGCTGTGGGAGCCGGTAGGCTTGAAATGGATATCGGTTTCCAGGTGGTTGCTAGAGATGGAAACAGAGAGGTCCAGGAAGGAGAGAGAGGTATTGGAGATGGTCCAGGTGAACTTAAGGTTGGGGTGGAAGGTGTTAGTGAAGTGGATGAACTGTTCGAGCTCCTCGTGGGAGCACGAGGCAGCGCCAATACAGTCATTGATGTAACAGAGGAAGAGGTGGGGGATAGGGCCAGTGTAGCTTCGGAAGAGGGATTGTTCCACGTAACCTACAAAGAGGCAGGCATAGCTTGGGCCCATGCGGGTACCCATGGCCACCCCCTTTGTCTGTAGGAAGTGGGAGGAATTGGAGGCAAAGTTGTTAAGGGTGAGGATGAGTTCAGCTAAACGGATGAGGGTGTCAGTGGAGGGGGACTGCTTGGGCCTGCGGGACAGGAAGAAGCGGAGGGCCTTTAGGCCATCTGCATGGGGAATGCAGGTGTATAGGGACTGGACGTCCATGGTAAAGATGAGTTGTTGGGGACCAGGGAATCGGAAGTTTTGGAGGAGTGGAGAGTGTGGGTGGTGTCACGGACGTAGGTGGGGAGTTCCTGGACCAAGGGGGAGAAAATGGAGTCAAGATAAGTGGAGATGAGTTCGGTGGGGCAGGAGCAGGTGGAGACAATGGGTCGACCAGGGCAGTCAGGTTTGTGGATTTTGGGAAGGAGATAGAAACGGGCGGTGTGGGGTTGGGGAATGATGAGGTTGGAGGCTGTGGGCAGGAGGTCACCTGAAGTGATGAGGTTGTGGATGGTTTGGGAGATGATGTTTTGGTGGTCGGGGGTGGGGTCATGATCAAGGAGGCGGTGGGAGGAGGTGTCAAAGAGCTGGCGTCTGGTGTTGGTGATGTAGAGGTCACTGCGCCATACAATAACTGCTCCTCCCTTGTCCGCGGGTTTTATGGTGAGGTTGGGGTTGAATCGGAGGGAGCGGAGGGCTGCATGTTCTGTGGGGGAGAGGTGGAGTTGGTGAGAGGGGTGGAAAGGTTGAGGCGATTGATGTCTCGACAGCAGTTGGAGATGAAGAGGTCGAGGGAGGGTAGGATAGGGTAGGCACTTCCCCTCCCCCATTTCTGAAGAAGGGTCTAGACCTGAAACGTCTGCCTTCCTGCTCCTCTGATGCTGCTTGGCCTGCTGTGTTCATCCAGCTCTACACCCTAACATTTAGCTTAGTTAGCTGACATTTTTAATATCAAACTCTCGATCTTAATCAGAGCATCTCCAGCAATTATTTCCTGATCAACCCCACAGAACTACCTTTGGATCCCCTCAATGAATTGTCCTTGGGCCGTTCCACCTCACCCACCAGCCCCTTCCTTATCCACATGCAGTCCCAAAGGGTCACCACACAAAGACAAGGATTTCCATTATAACTCCCTGCCAAGGAGAGTCCAGGCAGTGAATCAGCAGAAGTTAAAATGGAATTGGGAATTACCCAGTTTTCTCTCAAGATTTTAAATTGCAGATGGCAAGGACACACACCAATTTGTTTAATCCTCCATAAATATCAGCTCATTAAGCTTTGATTATGTCATATTAACCTGTGGCCTGAGCTGGATAACCTGCTGGATCCTGGTTCTGGATGCAAGAATAGGCCCAGTAAGAGAAATTTTGAGTTCTCTCAGCTACTGCAGGCTGTCTTTCTTCCAAGCTTCTCTATCTGTTTCTCTTGTCCCTGCCATTTCCATTCATTTAATTCTTTCCCTTCCCTTCATACTATCCATTCCCTCAACCACTGCTCAGGACATATTGTCAGCATGAAATCCCTTCCTTGCAAAGAATTCCCTTTTATGGTACATAGGGACTGATATCCTTTCCATTATTACATGAAGTAACAGAAGCTGAGGAATTGCCCTGACCAAAAGGCTCCTGGTCCTCATTGACTTTTTGATGGATTTACTGAGCCCCAAAAGTCTCAAAGTTGTCACTCTGAGAGGGAAATTTGCTGCAAATTATACCCATGTTTCAATGAATCCTCAAACGAAAAGGAGTCAGTAAGATATATAGAACATCCACATTTGTCAGATATTTAAAAATTAAGTTTTTTTTCAACCGTTGACTTTAACAACTGGTAGAATTAATTTGACTTTGCATTATTAATGTTTTCTGAGCCTTCTTTCCAGACTGCATGCCAGGATCCCTGCACAGTTCTTTCTTTGAGCGTTTTTGAGAACTCATGAAATGGTTTCTGTCAAATTCTATGTTATGTATCCAATTGTGGTACCATATTCATGTCACTCACAGTTGGAAATCTTCGAAGCAAATTGAACACCTGAAAATAATAAAGGACAGATCTGAATTTCCTCAGTGTAGATAGGACTGCTTTCCAGGAGCTTATTCACTGACATGGATTCAATCACACAGCCTTCTGCTGGTTAATTTTAATTTAAAAGGTATTGTGACTCAAGTGGTTGCACTGGGAATTTTGTACTTCAATTAATCCCTAGGGGGTCCTCTTACATTTTTCTGTCATTAAATTATTTCCTCCTGTCATTCTGTGCTAGTGGTTTAAAAAACATAATGAGGACATTTGGAATGACATATTGTGATTTTGTGTTGCAGTGAGAGATGGGTTATAGCAAAAGAAGACAGCCAGTTTTTCATCTCTTCTGATATTTAATCCAATTGATTTAAGTAGAAATACAAGTTAGGAGAGACATAAACTAAGTAGAGAATTTAGAATCATAAGCTTACAGTGTTGCATAAAATAAAAATCTATTCCCTTGCGAAAAGGACATTGACAAGTTGGTGGAGTGGGTGGATAAGACAGATGAGTGCAGAGAACTGTGAAGTAATGCACTTTGGTCCAAAGAACATGGAAAGACAATATAAATAGCGGGTGCAATTTTAAAGGGAGTGCGGGAATAGAAGAATCTAGTGTATGTGTGCACAGATCATTGAAGGTAGCAGAACAGGTGTAAAGAGCAATTAATAAAGCATACAGTGTTCTCAGCTTTATTACTGGGGGTATAGAGTACAAAAGCAAGGAGGTGACGCTGAACAAGACACTTGTTAGACCTCAGCTTGTGTACACGTTATAGGAAAGATGCGATTGCATTGGAGAGACTGCAGGTACAATTTAAAGAATGGTTCCAGGTATGAGATGCTTTAGTTATGAGGATAAATTGAAGAAGTTGGGACTGTTCTCCTCAGAGAGAAGAAGGCTGAGAGGAGATTTGGTACAGGTTTTCAAAATCATGAGAAGGCTAAATACAGTATACAGGGAGAAGCTATTCCTGCTCATGAAACAAAAAGAATGAGAGGGCATTGATATAAAATGATGTGCAAATAAAACAAGCTTGTGAGAAAAAACTTCGTCACACAGTGAGTAGTTAGAGTATGGAATGTACTGCCTGGAAATGTGGTGGAGCTAGGTTCAATTGAGCCATTCAAGAGGACATTGAATGGTTATTTGGATAGGAGTGGTGTGCAGGGATGTTGGGGAAGGGCAGGAGGTAGGCATTAGGGAAAAGAGCCAGTGCTGGCACAATGGGCTGAATGGCCTGCTTCTGCACCGTAACAATTCTGTGATCCTGCTCTCTAATATTACTCTAATTATAAAAGTGCTCCAAAATAAATGGGTGCTAAGAGGTTTAGTAGAGAATCTTAATATTCTGAAGGGTTTCCATTGGATAGTTGAGGGAAAAGCTATTTTCTCAGGTTTAGGGTTTATGACATGGAGCTAGAACAGAAAAATGGGGATTATGTCTTCATTCAGATGGTTATGGTAACATGAAGTACATTGTCACTGGGAGTGATTTAGGCAGAGTCTAGTAAAAACTGAATAAGTATACAAAAGAAATGGAGATACTGGGCTTTGGGGAGATTGTGAGGAAGCAGGATTAGTTTTGAATTGCTGTAGCAAGGAGATACTACCAACAAACATATCCTCTTGGTGTACTATAAACAACTCACTACAAGCTCATTAACCTGTATGGCTCATTAAAGATGTTATTTCAAGGATTTAAGATGACATATAATCAAAATAATAGTAAGTACTATTATGCCTCACAGCAGCCCTGCATTGGAAATTAATTATCACTATTCCAAGAGTTGTCACAAAAGTTAAAGATCTTGTAAAAGGTCAACAAAATTTCCTAATTTACCTAAATAAAAAAAAACAAAAGAACTGCGGATGCTGGAAATCAGAAACAGAAACAGAAATTGCTCGAAAATCTCAGTAGGTCCGGCAACATCTGTGGAGAGAAATCAGAGTTAATGTTTCAGGTCCAGTGTTGCAGAAGCATCTATGGACCTCTTGGTACTTTACCCAATAACAGTAAGCAGGATATCATATTAGACACGGCAGCACATACAAATCTTACTGAGTTCTTGCCTCAAAGCTTTACACAACCTTCCACAAGGAGTTAGTAGGTCTTACCTAAGAATGGAAATCATAATTGGTGTGTTCTGCTTCCTTACCCTACATTAGTGGTACACACTCCAGCATGCTGCATGCAAATTTAACACATTGCAGCAATATTGTATTCTTTCACGGGATGTTACGATTGCTGTCTTAGGAGTATTTATTGCATTTGAGAGGTTAATAGTGGGAGAGAACATCTGACCTGTTTGATATCAAGTAGAAACCAATCAATGTGTTGCGCTGGCCCTAATATACTGTGGTAATAACAGAAAAATAACATTAGCAAGTTAGGCTGGTTTATTAACTAATGTATGTACATTGTGAATTCAGGCTGCAATGGGCTCATGGTCCAGCTTTTCGAAGAAGCTGAAATAGGACTGAATATTTGGCATATGTTTTTAAAAAAGAATTCTCCTTTAATGTATCTAAGTTCATTAGTATCAGTGAGACAAATAGTTTAGCATCACATTCAATACAATTTCTGGTCTCTTTCATGATTCAGTTCTGATCAGAAGTTGATTGAACTGAAGCAGATTTAATTACAATGCAATTGCTCAAGCTGCACCTTGCCTGCATATGTCAATTGAGACAATGTCATGATCTCACACAATTTCTGGTAAGGTGGTTCACTCATTCAGATGATTCAGTTTCTCAGGAAATGAATCTGTGGATTTTCAGGTACTCAGGCAGAAATAATCTGCCTGTAAGCTTCCAGTTATAACCACATTGTGTGATCTGGTCAGTAATACAGAGCTGTTACCAGTAATAACTGGAAGACATTGCACTCACTATTATGATGTAAAGTGGTGCCACATATACTCAAGAAAGAAGTTGCTTCCTTGAAAGTTCTGTTGTAGTGGCTGAACTGAATATTAAGGATTGATTCTAGTTATTACTTAAGGAAAAACTTCCATTCTCACAATGAATCTGTTCATTCATGTTATAGGAGTGCTGTCAGCTCTTCATTTTTTATAAGTGAATGACTTTTGTCTGCTTTGTGATATACTTTCTCATCCTTTCTCATGCCTTTTCACATTTCTCAATTCATATTTAAATGCAAGATAAAGCTGTACTTTCTTTTCAATTATGCATTTTAGGAATTCTGGAGGGATTTGACATCTTTCTGCAGATATGAAGCACAAAGGCTTCTCTTTTTGTTTGAAAATTACAGGGTGAATTCTCCAAGCCCTCAAGTGTAAGGACATAGTGAAAAATTTGTGGGCATAGGTTACTCTTGTACATAATGGAAGTTGGTTTGGAAAACTTTGTAGTGAAACTTATTAGAAGACATCAAGTAGTACTTGTACAATTTCACATCAGCACAGATCTACATATGAATAGATATATAGAAAATACATACTTTGGGCTCAGTAGTATTGCAGAAGCAAATTTAGTTGCAAGTATCGTATGACATTTCCTGTACATACTCCATCCTTATCACAAAGGTACCCACTTAACACCATCACAGTAATACATTGCCAGCAAGAGTCAGAAGGCACAAACATGGGGGTTATTTCTCTAGAAAAGAGAAGACTGAGAGTTGACTGGTAGGTATTTTTAAATTTCTGAGAGGTTTGATATGGTAGAATAGAGATGTTCCCACTTGTGAAGGAGTACAAAACTAAAGGCTGTAAAATATATCTAAGATAATCTGTAATAAATTCAATAAAGTATTAAGAAGTTGCCACCTCGCTCAGAATGATTAATGGAAGTGTGGAACTGACATACCACATTGAGTGGTTGAGCACCGAGTTACATTAAAGGGAAAAGTGTTAAAAACATAAGGGATAAAGGAAGAAAAATATGTTGATATGCTGACACAGTGAAACTGAAATGAATTGTAAACAGTGACAAAGACCAGCTGAGACTGTAAATTCTATTATCAGCCCTTTGGTTCCAGTTTTCCACTCAACAGATTCTTTCAGCATTTCAATTATGTATAATAATAACTCTATTCATGATGAACTCTGTCTACTCATAAAAACAGAAGTTGCTGGAAAAGCTCAGGAGGTCTGGCAGCATCTGTGAACAGAAATCAGAGTTAACATTTTAGGTCCAGTGACCCTTCCTCAGAACTGTTCTGATTTGCTTGTGATTTACAGCATCCACAGTTCTTTTGTTTTTTTTATTATCTATTCCCTGCATTTTCAAGCGGTGAAACATGGAGTATGATTAATCCCTTTTGCCTGTTCTAAATTCATTTATAACATCTCATTTTTGTCCATCCGTAATTTCATCGTTGGCATGATCCCAGAGAGTGACCTATGAATATGTCATCTTATTTGTGTTTTGCCCAATGAGACAGAGCTTACAGCAGTCCCACTCAGCCTAAGCTGACTCAGTAGACTCTCCACACTAATATCATGCCAATGGAATACTTGTTCTGAACTAAACCCCACTCCAATGTTACCTAAGTGTAAAAAGCACCTCTATCTACTCCTCCACTGTTGCTAAATTGTCGGACTGCTGTCTGACACTCATACCAGGTAAGCAGAAATTCCCTCTAATTTTTTTAATTATTCACTGGTGGGACATGGGTGTCACTGGCTGGGCCAGCATTTATTTACCATCCCGAGTTCCCTTTGAGAAGGTGGTGGTGAGCTACTGGGATGCTAGAAAGACTGAAGCCATTGCTTTTGGTCCATGTTCTAAATTCTGTTCCTTAGCCATGTCAGCTCTATTCCTCACTACAGCAATGATGTAAGCTTAAACCAGCTCATTCACAATCTTGGTGCCACACCTGATCCCATGATGTACTTCTAACTTCATATGCATGTTGTCCCTAAAATCACCTATTTGTAATTTTGCATGATTTCGCCCCATCACTCCCTATCTCTGTATTCTTGTCCAGCTGCAGAATTTCTCAAAATATCTGTACTCTTCTAATTCTGGCTTCTGATGCGTTCTCAGTTTTTATTGCTGCATCATTGGTGACCATACTTCAGTACTTTGGTCCCAAACCTCTGGAATTCCCTCCATTTACCTCTCAACCTTACCACCTTCTTTCAAGTCTGTCCTTAAAACCTACCTCTTTGACCAGGCTTTAGATTGTCAGATGTGGATCGCTGTCATATTCCGCTTTATAATGCTTCTAGGAAGCACACTGGGATATTTCAATATGTTAAAGGTGCTGTAAAAATGTAAGGTGTTGTTGTTACTGTACCATGTGATCTGGTACTGGGCCATCAAGATCCAGGAAGTCCTGTTCTCTGCTACTCTAACTATTTCAGCTGAGCTGTTACTGGTTGTTCTAGGATTAAAATTGGCTCTACTAGGAAATAACATTGGTTATGGTCATTGACCATTTTAACTGACCTTTAGCAACAGAGGTTATGTTCTGCCTGCTCTTGATGGAAGGAAAGGGTCTAAATATCAAGTGAAAACAAGTGAAATCTACTTTGAGCAGTCTCATGCAAACAGGTAATGATACATGTGTAGCCCATTGCAAAAGAAAAAGTACAAATAAAATGGGACGCCAGCTTGCTAATGCACGTTTTGTGCTGCAACAAACATTGAAACATAAAAAGAGCAGGAGGAGGCCATTTGACTCTGTGAGGCTGCTCCTTATTACATATGATCATGGCTGATAATTAAATTCACTATCCTGTTCCTGCTTTCTCCCCAGATCTTTTTCATCCCTTTAGACGTAAGAACTACGTGTAACTCCTTGAAAATATTCAATGTTTTGGTCTCAACCAGTTACTGTGGCACACAATTCCATGGGCTTACTACCTTCTTTGTGAAGAAACTTCTCCTTATGTCAGTTATAAATGGCCTATCCCATATCCTTAAATTGTGACCCTGGTTCTGGACTCCCCCATCGGGAACATCCTTCCTGTGTTTACTCTGTCTAGTCCTGTTAGAATTTAATGAGTTTTTGGGAGGTCCCCCCTCATTCTTCTAAACTCCAGTGAATATAGTCCTGACTGACCCAGTCTCTCTACATATGTCCGTCCTGCCATCCCAGGAATCAATCTAGTAGGTGTTCATTGCACTCTATTCGTAGCCGGAATATCCTTCCTCAGATAAGGAGATCAAAACTGCACACAATACCCCAGGTGCAGTCTTACCAAAGCCCTGCACATTGCAGCGAGACGTTCCTAATCTTGTACTCAAAACCTCTCATTATCAAGGTCAACATAGCGTTCACTGTTTTTACCGCCTGCTCCAAAGACGAATTATGTCTCAGGGTGTATGCACTGAAGCTGAATATACATTATTGGAGCACAAGTACAGCAGCAGAAACACAGGAGTTAGAAATAATTGGATCAGGTCATATATTTATCAATAAAGTACAAAGCCTCGCTCTCTTTGTCTGACGTAGAGGTTACCTTCGCCAATGAGTGTTAGAACTCATAACCAGTAGTTACACTGTGAATGCTGTTTCTGAGTATCGGTATAAGTCCTGTTAGTCAAGGTTTTTACTTTCCAGCAAGTGGCTTCCAAACTAAAAGGTTCTGCTGAACACTCTGAAACAAGTTTTGTAGTTTCTTTGGTTGGCTATACTAATGATGCTGAACTGATGCAATCTTAATTGAATTTATGCTGATCCAATTGCTGTGTTTTGGAATATAAGGTAAATGCATTAAGTTTCAAAACAATCCCCAACTCTCTTCTGATCCAGCCGTTTCATGTCTATTTTCGATGGTGTTCATTCTTGCAGGTCTGGCTCTGTGGTGGTTCAGTAGAAGTTCTGCCCTGCTCCAGAGTTGGTCATGTGTACAGGAAACATGTCCCATATTCTCCGCCAGATGAAGAGATTGTGGAGAAAAACAAAATCCGTGTAGCAGAGGTTTGGATGGATTCTTTTAAAGAGATTTTCTACAAGCAAGACATGCCTGCATATCTGCTCAGTAAGGTCAGGGAGTAACGTTTGTGTTGTTCAGTTAAAAAAACAGGTGATTGAATATTTCCCGGAAGTGCATACTCTTGGCTCTAGAAATTGCTCCACACAACTCCCAGACTCGTAGCCTTGCTTTTTTCAGCAGCTTTGAAATGGTTCTTCAATTTCCTTACATTAAAAAGGTGCAAATATATGTCCATTAAATAAAATAGTCATATTTTATCCACCTATAAGTATTTCAATGAATATTAATTCATTTCAAAGAAGGATAGACCAAAATCTGGTGCAGAAACTGTGAAATGATGACTTTCAGTCAAACAATTGAAATGAATCAGACATTGATTTTCATTTAAGAGCCTGATTGATTTTCATTTAAGAGCCTGATGAATACTGAGTAGAGACTCAAAGATTAAAAAAATTTTGTGAGGGACTTACTGTTTTTAACAGTTATTTGCCTTTATAAATCCCGCCCCCCTGCCCCCGTTATTTTAATTTTGCATTGATCTCTTCATTTTTAAATAGAGTGACTTCAGCTTATAAGCCCTGTGATTGTGAATTCCCACCAATATAGTACCTTTCTACCTCACCCTGTTAAAATCCTCCTTAAAATCAACCTTTTTAATCAAACGCTTTATAACACCTAATATCTTCTTTGGTTTGCACACGAACTTAGATTACATTTCTGTGAAATATTTTGGGACGTTTTTCATTCTAATAAAGATTTAAAAAATGTATATTTTTGTTGATTTTAGTCTGAGACAGATTCTTGCTTTTTGATTCTCCTGAACATACATTTAGAGAGAAACATCCTTTTTTTAAAAGTAGGAGAGACTATTGTACCTCCATCTCAAAGGCTGGAAATAACATAATTAAACCATTTACTGTATTTTAATTTGTTTATTGTATTTCCAATCAATTATGCCACATATAAGGGATTATAAATACTTTAAATACTCAAAAATTAAGTACTTGTATCAAATTGCCCTCAATGAAACATTAACCTTTTGAAATAAACTCAGAGAAGATCATGTGGATGTATATAATTAGGCAGGCTGGAGTGACAATACATTTTTACATTTCACACACACTTTTTACAGTAGAACTGTTAACTCTGGATTGTGGGGGGTGCTTTGTGGTCCCATGCTGTTGGCATCATTCCAAATCACAAACCAACCAACTGAGCTAACTAACCCCCCACTCCTGAGGTAGTGTAAGTGCTGTTCAGATTACTCTTATTCAGATTTACTCCAATTTTTAAAAAATCTTGCTGGAATGTGTGTGTTTTGATTTTATGCCCATTTGGCCCATCTCCATGTGAAAGAGCTGTGACTAAATAATCAAGCAATTCATATAATAACTATCACATGAGCATCTTTTAAACTAAATGTTTTGAACGTTTAAAGCCCATCCCCCCATTTTTAAACTGTGATTGCTAAAATATAACTGAGCTCTTTAGACTAGCTCAAATCATACTCAGATGTAACATTTAAACATTCTTGATTTTGATTGAATTGTTAATATTATTCATTTTCTAGCACCGGATTTCCACTCCCAGGGTCTTGGAAAAGGCCTGATCCTGCTCAGTTAAATGTCTGATGAACGCTTAAATCTGTCGAGCCTATCACAGTGGAGGTGACATGGGACTCCTGCTGGTTTTCCAACCGGTAGGTAAGACCCTGTCATGAAGATAAAATTCTGTCCCAGTTGTCTGTCACATTTTGGTCTGACACTGCACATTACAGTAGAATTTTCTGAAAGGAATCTATCAACTTTAACTACATTATAAAAGTCTTAAAAATGTTGCTTGATGTGTTTCCTGAGTTAAGCATTGAAAAAAAGGCTGGGTATACATCACAGAATAGTCACCATACAAAAGAAAGTTTTAATATTCAACTTGAAGCAATTCAGTTAAATTCCAATATATCTTTTTCCCTGTTTTGGTAGATTGCAGTTCCTGACTGTACAGAGCGACTGCAACTGCGAAAGAGGCTAAGCTGTAAGCATTTTCATTGGTTTTTGACGAACATATACCCAGAGCTCTACCTGCCTGAGGACAAATCTGGATATTTTGGAGCAGCAAGACAAAGGTTTTTGGTATTTTATCGAACTTTTTGATGCAATTCTTGACATTCTTAGTTTTCTAAATGATGAGTTTCAATTGAGTAATTGTTTTATTTTCAATTATAGATTTTGTTGTTAAAAACAGACTATTTTAAAAATAATACAAAAAAGATACAGCAGACACTGGAAATCTGAAATAAAAATATTTGCATGAAAATAAAAATAATTTCAATAACAATATTAAAAATGTTTTATTGGACCTTTATTTTATCTCAAGGCATATTAAATGTCACATCCATGCAAGAAAATTGATTGCTTTCTGAATTTAATGTACAATTATATTATGAGAAAATCTACTGAATATTGAATTAATTGTTTTGTTTAAGTTTGCTGCTAAGTTGCCCTATTTAAATGTAGCATGAAATGTTCCAAGGAGCAAAACTGAAGGAAGGATATTAATTAGAAATATCCTCATTCTGCACACGTTCTTTTTGCTTCCAGCTGTACAATATAGGCACAGGCTATTGTGCAAGTTATGAGACCAAATGGAGCACAGGTGGATATCCTGTAGGACTTACTCAATGCAGTGGCCATGGGAATCAGGTAATGTCTAAAATATAAAATGCTTCATGTATATATCACTGCTGTATATAAAAACAGGCTAGTACTTCTTACAAACAATTAATAACATC